CCCGAGAGCTACCGACGGACTAAATTCGATTGCTAATTTTATATTTGGCAATCGAATTTTCATCGCTAATCCGTCGCTAATTTTGACACTTTTTTTTTCTTGCTTTATTTAGCGACGAATTGTTTTCCGTCGCTAAGTATCCGTCTTTAATCCGTGACTAAACTGTCATAAAAAATATTATTTTGTAATCGGCGACGAAAAACAATCTGTTGCTAAATTCCATCGGTAATTTATTTTTTTCTAGTAGTTTATATATATATATATATATATATATATATATATATAAGAGAGAGAGAGAGGACGATCATGCCAACAAAAAAACTCTCCTAAGTTGGTAATTGAGAAAATTTAGCACAGTCAAATCACCACTCAGATCTGTAAAAGAATAATTAAATAAAACACCTCTAGGGTTATGCACCAGAAACCACCTTATTTTTCTGAAAAAGAAATAGTAAATGTGATATTTTGGTATCAAGTGGAGATATGGTCCATCAAATAATTAAAATCTAACCATCCCCTTAGTTAAAATTTGGTTTGCTTTCAAATCTTTACAAATGATACATTGGAATAGATTGAATCGTTGATATATTCGAAATGATCACAATTAAAACTATAATGGGGGTTTTCATATTAGGTATCCTTTAATTAAATTAATTTTTCTTTGACAAATCAGATGGATTTTCTTAGGTTTAAAAAAAATAAAGGGCGTGACAAAAGCATCACTTGGGATGTTAAAATGTCAACACAAAAAAAAAAAAAGTATTTTTTTTTTAACAGACTAAAGAGAAAACGTGGGTGTTTGTCATTCTCCGACATCATCGATCAGAGCCATACAGCTTGACCAATAGAAGAATGACAGCAGAGTCAAGTTAGGCAAAAAGCAAAGTATAAAATTTAAAGATATGACAATCAGTCTTATGATGCTTGCTAATTAATTTGTTACAGGCTAAAACATTCATTTTAGAATATCCATTGCATTAAATTTTATTTTTTATTTTTTTATTTTTTTATCTATTGATTTAGATGATAAATGAGTCTGTTCGCATGTTACCATCTAGAACTATAAAATATATATTTATAAAAAATTCGACAACAAAAGTATTCATGAATACATTAATTTGGGTGTATATAATATATTATTCTCTTGAAAAGATATGTATTTTCAATATTTGAAAACTAAAAGTCAAAACTAACATAAAAATGCTCGAGGATTAAAGAAAAAAAATTAATTGCTAATTAATTTATTTTAGGTTATCAAAGTAAGTACGGAAACAACTTTATCAGGATTTACTCACATACCGAATATTTAGCGTCCTAAATGGTGATAAATTATTTATTTAATATATCTGAAATCATACTCTTTACTTTTACCAAAATAAAATTCATTTAAAATGAATCCCATATTGATTATATAAAAGGGGGACTCTTGAGATAATTAAGATAATACGGTGCCTTGAGAATTTTCCATAGACAACTGTGAAGCCGCCCAGCCCACTGTATAGATTATATACTCTGATCTTGAATTTTGTTTCGTTCCTTAAGGTTACAGTGACATGAAATTAACGCTACCAAGAAAGCATTAATCAATAAATAAATAGGACCCAATTGCAGTTGCGAAACCCAACGATTTGGTCGGCTAAGCCTCGTAAATTAGATTTGTGTGGAAAACGTCGGTTGCTAATCACCGACCCAACAATTGGTCGCAAATGACTCTTCAATGGTTTAATCCATGCATATAGACAATAATTTGTGACAAATTAATTTGAGTTAGAATATTAATTCCTCTCGAAAATTACTCTTAAAATTTAATAAAAAAGAGTAATCAATTGCTAATCCGTCCCAAAAGAAATTATGGAAAATAATATGCCAGATTAATTGACATTTATCATTTGCCAATGGAATTGAATAAGGAATTATAAATGTATAAAATTTCTTATCCATCATAAATTTAATATGCCCATATTTAAAATATTTAGCTGGAAGCTCTTTTTTGTTGCAATCTTTTCGAAGAGTAAATTTATAATTAACTAGAGATATTTTTTGTGTAATTTTGGAAAAAAAAAATTAGCTGGAATTTTTCTTCTAAATTAAAATTTTTTTTCATTAGTAATTGAAAATGCAATACAAAAAAAAAAAAAAAGTACTTTCAGTTTTAAAATTATTGAAAAAGTTTCTGATCATCAATAATTTTTTAAAAAAGATTATTTATTAAAAAATTCGATGGATTATTCCATTGCCATGACAAAATTAAAGTTATTTTTTCTTTTTTTTTCTTTGTCGAAATTACGCTGATGAGTTTTTTTAATGGTTAAAAATTTTATCGTTCAGCTTTTAAAATAAATATTTTTCCATTGAAAATCTATCCTGAAAAAATTCGTCACCAATGACATATTTTAGGGTAGTCAAACAACAATCCAAAATAAAATGCAGCTTTCGTCTTGGAAAAAAGGATCCTGCTATCATCACGATCGATTTGAGAACGTACGTAGTGTGACCCACGTTTATGAAGGAAGTGGCGCGTGATAATTTATTTTGCGCTATTTTTTCGACGTGTAATGCTATTTTTCTTTTAAAAAATAAATTAAATAATTTAATTAATTTTATTATGTATTAATTTATATTATTTATTTATTTATTTTTGACATGGATCTAAACTATATAATAAATAAATTATATTGAAAATGAGCCACATCTAATATAAAGCTGTAGACTGTATAAAGTATAAATCCAAGATATACAATAAATAAATGAAACTCACAATGGACCTAATCTAATCCAAGGATCTAGGCAACAAAAGAATGGCTACAAATATTTTGGCTGGACTAGTATTCATGTCTTATTCTTAAAATAAATTACAGAGATTGATTTGATAAGTTTAAAGTAAGGTTTGTTAAAGAAAAACCTAATTGTTAATTTTTTAGTTTTTCCTTGTACGTTAAAGCAATATAATCCAAAAAACTCAATTTTTTCAACTTGAATCGACCATTTAAATATGGATAATGTGATACGATCCTAACGATCAAGGTTCATAATTAAACTCTAACTCTTTTCTCTCAAAGCTCTCTAACTCATACATTAGACATCACTTAAGGCTTCATCGGTTTGGACAATGACCATCCATCTATTTGTCACTCAACTTAAGTCTTTCTTGCATTACTTGCTCATTTTCCTACATCACTTGTATTCATTTTACTTGGTTAGTTGATCGTTATTTTTTAAGTAAAAATACTAACTCTCTATATTTAACCTAGACCAAGTATACTCACTAGTTGTTTGATAATTTTTCAAGGACCCCTCTACGTATTTTGGAAACTTGATTAGAAAGTTAGTGATTACAAAAGAACAATAGTCTCTTTCAAAAACACTTTTGTTATTCGACTTTCATAGGACCTTCAAAAATTTATCTAATTAAAAATTATTTTGTTTGTTATTTATTAGGATATGAGTTATTATTAATTTTGGAATCACTAGCTAGTATTGTAGGGACTAGAAAACTTAAAATGACACTAGTTTAGAGATTATAAGATAAAGAGTTGATTATACATTTGGAAAGATATCAATCACCCAAATGCACCATTTTCGAGGAAAGATACCATGTCCGATTTAGTCCTAAAATTTTATCTCTAAAAAATTCTATTATTTACCAAAATTAATCCTAAGTCAAATTCCAAGATTTATTTTCTAGACTAATTGATTTTTTATTTTTATTTGTGGCATCGTATTAAGCTAATCACCGGACCCCAATGTTGAAAGTCTCGTTAATTCAACATCAAATCCACTTTAAGTCTCGACATAATCGGTATTTTGGAGAACGATCTAATTACTAAAGTGACTCGATTTGAATTAATTAATAACGATTGTCCCTATTAGATAGGAGACTCGTTAAATTTCCTTAAAAACTCTTTCTTTTTTTGTTCTTATTCTTAATTAAACTAAAGGTACTTTATTTTGAAACATATGGAAAAAATATTATCAAAATCATTTTTTTTTATCTTTTTTATTTACGACATTGTGTTAAATTAACATTGAGTCCCAAAATTTTAGAGTCTTATTAATTTAGCATCGGATCTAAATTAAAGTCGTGAAAAGATTGGTATGTTGAGAAATGATTTAATTAACTAAAAGTATTTACGTAAAATGTTAAATAAAATTGATCCGAATTGATTCCTTATTATTTTTTAGTATTTTCATTAGTGAATAAAATATATGAAAATCAAGCATCCGTCCTTTATGAATAAGAGACTTGTTGATTCGATATCACTACCAAATCAAAACCATATGTTAAAATAAATTTCACACCCATATATTTATATATTTTCGGGTTTTCTAACACACATAACACCAAAAATTATTACAAAAGAACAAAATAAAAGAATTAAAAAAGAAGAAGTAACAAATCAAACTAAATAGTCACTAAAAAATGACCAAAATACCCCGTTAGAACATCATTGAAAATGACCAAAATGTCCCTTTTGGTGGAAAATAGGAAATTGCCCCTACTCGATGGAAATGATGAGACTACCCCTGTTGCTAAAAAAGACAAAACTACTCTATTGCTAGAAATGATAAAACTACCCCTACTACTAGAAATGATGAAATTGACCTTATTACTAGAAAAGATGAAATTGCCCATCTCCAAACAAAATGCTAGATTCCTAGCCATCCATCCGAATATCATTAGGTTCTAAATATATAGCATGACCTCCCTAGTAAAGATCATAGCCATTGTCTTCCTTTTAAATGGAAGGAATATCTTGTCTCCCAAATTTTAGTAGTGCCTTGACTTTTATAGCTCGGTCTAAGATCTTCATAATAATGGCTTTGTCACGATCAATGTTATAAAGAAAACCCTTCATCTTTGCTTCCGTTAGTATGTTGAAGGAAGATGAAGAGAGAAGATGAGGAGAGATAGAGGATGAGGTTGGTGTGAGATTCTTCCATAGGTAGCTCGAGACAACATCGATACGATTGAGAAATAGGAGGATCCGGAGGTAAGAGTAATGAATAAAGCGGAAGATAAAGATGAAATGAATACTTTGTTTGAAGAAACCGCAAAGTCACTAGAAATCACCACAATTTGTGTTTTTTTCCTTCATTGGGAGTTTTTTTTTATAATGAGTCATAAATCCAAGGAGTAGCTTTATGTGGAAGGTGGTCGGCAGTGTTGAGGTTTGGTGCGAGTGGTAGTTAGTGAGGAGGATGAAACTAGTTTTGGGTGTAGGTCTCGTGTGGGCTTGATAGGAGAGGTTAGAGGTTGTAAGTTAAGTGTTTGTATTTTTGTTTATAAGAGATCGAGGTTATTATTTTAGGTGTGAAGGTTTCGATTATAAAGAAGTTAGGTTATAAGTGTTTTGATGGATAGGGTGGAATAAATGTTTAGTTGGTGACTGGTTAGGGTTTGTGGATATTGAAGAAGAGGGATAATAGAGCTTAATACTATAGTGGAGTTTGGGAAGTGTGACTGCTATGGCTGGCTACTATAGTGGAGTTTTGTAGTGGTGAGGATGGCTAGTAGGGAGGTAAAGGCTAGTAAGGTTTTGGGTGGTTGGAGGGGTTATGTTTGGTTGGGATTACTAGTAATAGGAGGCTATAAAGATAGGAGATGGGCAATAATGTTTGCTTTGAGAGGTATTCATGCTAGGTGTTTGTGTTTTTGAATTTGAATTATGGTGGTTTTAGGTAATGAAAGAGAAAGAGAGGCAGTAGGGAGGTTGGTTTGGGTGGAGCTTAAGGCTAGTGTTTCATGGCTAAGAGAAGCTAGTGGTAATGGCAGTTATATTGATGAAAGGTTAAGTCTATTGGTTAGGTGAAGTAGTTTGTAAAGGCTGATGTGGGTAGATGGAAGTTAGTTTGGAAGAGCTATAGAAGTCATTCTTTTATAGTGAAGGTGGCTACCAAGGTTTTGTTTTAATGGAAAAGATGATGGCTACTAGGTTTTTTTGTTGCCTCCTACATTTTTTCTTGCTAGGGTTTTTTAGGGGTAGGTAGATGGGTGATGGAAGCTTTCCCAAAATAAAGTGAGAAAAGTGTTTATGTACGAGCTTTTTAGGGTTTGAGATAAAATTAATTTAAGTCATTTCTTGGATTATTTTTGTCAATTTCAATGTATATATTATTATTTGTCTCCAAGTAACTCCTTAATTGAAATTATTTAATCCTTATTCTCTTGATTTCTTTTAATTTTTTATTGATTAATTCTTAATCAAGTTCATTTATTTTTATCCTTTTTCTAATTACATCCCTAATTGAATATCATTTGGTCATTACTTTACACATCATTAATTAGATCCTAATTCATATTCTCAATATTTTTTTAAATTATTTTCTCTCTTTTTTTCCTTTTTAGTTAAAATTGGGGAAACAATTCTAATAAATTAAAATCCTAGAAATTTATAAAAATGCCTCAAAATCATGAAAAAAGATAATTATGCAAACACTCCATTTTTTAATTCTGTTTATTTTTCATGCCCTCAAGTTTAGTTAATGAAAACTTATGACTTGGTGTTATAAAGAGCGATGAACTACATACCTGCTATTCATGTTTCTTGTTTTTGTCAATCATTCTTGTTTTTCTTTGAGATTAGAATTCAATAGCATATGTGAACTAGTTATATATATATATATATATATATATATATCAAATAGAGCTTGTAGAAGCACATAATATAGAGCTATGGCTTGGGCTTGTAAAAAAATAAATGGATACATAAAGGCTAAAAAAGTATTTAAGGGTCTTATAACATTGGATCATTTTGTTGTCCATAAAAGTCTTTTTATGCAATGCTCGCTTGAATTTTGTCATTTAGCCGTTAGTTAGGCTTTTGTGTCATCTTGATGTTCTTGAAAAGTTTTTCTTTTTAGACTTGTCGTAGTGATTTTGTCGTTTTGATTGTTGACTTTGTTTCCTAGCCTTAACTCTCATTGCTCGTTTATCCGAATTTTGATTTCCATCTTGACTTGTAATTTTTTATTAGGAATTTTTTCTTTTTTCTCTTTTTCTTTTTTTGTTTCTTTAGTCTTTTTTTGTTTCTTTGCTTTCTCATTCCCCGTCATTTTTAGAATCATTGATCGAGTTCTTTTGATAGAAATTTTTGAGATTTATGGACTTTGTATTCAATCTCTAGTGTGAGGGGTGATACTAGTCTAGGTTATCATAAAAAGAATCATCAAGACTCAAAGTGGGATGACGAGGGAGATGACTTTATGAGGTATATAAAAGATGACCTTTTTTCATCTTAAAGAGTAATTTACGTATGTTGATAAATACTAATCTCTTTTGAAAAAAAATTATTAATTTGGAAAACCATTAGATTAACCAAAGAAGAGAAGTAATGAATATAACTTGGGATCATGACTTGAAGATGTACTATTTATTATTATTTAGGACACCAATCATTTAGTGTTTCAACTTTAGGCTTCATGAGGTCTTCATAGGCAAAAATTTCCTTTGAAAGTTTATTTAGGAAAAGATAAAAGATTTTTTTTTCAACAAAATGAAGGATTTCACCCTCACTTTCTATTTAGAAGGTTATTAGGAAAGAAAAATATATCTTTGGGTTTCAACAAAATGAAGGATTGCCTCTAATATCTATGTTTTATACTTTGAATTTTGATCAAACCTTTTGAATGTTTTTAAATAAACTTGCCAAAATAATACTTTCAAATGGACATATTTTGATTTTCGATACGACAATATAAAATTATAAAAGAAAGTAGAAGCATTCTTTAATTCAATGATACAACTTAATTCATGCATAATCAAAACATTTAAGAAAATAATGTTTAAATTCTGAAAAAATTAAAAAACAACATTTTCAAATCATGAGCTTGCATCCTCACCATAAGTTTTAAGCTTACTCGGTTTCTTCATTCCTTGTATTGTTAGTCGTATGGTTTGGAATAGGGATTGTGTTCCCATTAGAAGCATTTAGGCTATCTTTAATTGATTCATCTTTTCTTGATCAAAGATAATAATCTCTTCTTAAAAGTTGGATAATTATCGAGTTACGCCTTTAGCACAGGAATGATATTAACACCTCTCATCTTGTTTGTATCATGTAAGATAAGGTGGTGCTTTGGTTTGGCTGGAATTAATGTAATCAACCTAATGTGTACTAGGTGCTCAAACATTTTAGATAATGAGAAAGGCAAGGGTGGTAGTTGTTTAGAATCTTTTTTTATGATCTTGGTTGTTTTAGTGGTAAGGGTTATGTGGTATTTGTGGGTTGTTGAAGATTGTTTGATTTTGCATTAGATACATAGATAAGGGACAAAAAGGTTTCCCTTATTTTGTTAAGGTCTATTCATGAGCATTCGAAAAATTAACATGGAGATTAGGGTTTATCTTAAAGACATCATAAGCAAATTCTCTCACTAGGAGTGTCTTTTGAAGCCTTGACTTTTCTTAAAATTAACACATGCTCTATTTCCCTCGCCATATTCATGAGATCGGTAAACTAACATGAAAAGCTACTACTTAAGTATTTATAGTATGGGGATCCCAATGTATTTTAGTGGTGGATGTGTTCAAAAAGCTAGTGCTTGCCATCTCCTAAAATACCTCCATATGGTTCACTACTCATACCATGAAGGTCAACCCTACTCACATAAGATTTGTCATTGAAATTGCTCTTTTTTGGCCCCTAGCTAGTCATTTTGAAATAGTTCCCTCTCTAAATTGATTACTTGACGTTTTAGGTGGGCCCATCTTTTTCTATTTTTAATTTTTTTCCATCATCAAGGGAATGATTTGACCTATAAATCTAACGTCCTTTCCTTTCTTGACCTCTTAATTATCTTGGGACGAGCATGTAGAGATCCGTATTTGAACCAAATGATTTAGAAGAAAGGCCATATGTCAAGATAAAGCAAGTAAGAGTGGCAAGTTCTTGGTAATGGGTAATGTCATATGGTTTGATGAAGTAACTAAAGGAGGTCCTTTACCACCATGAAAGGAGTATATCGATATAGAGAACTTGGTAGAGGGACTTGTGTTGTAGGATGAAAGAATGAATCCTTCACTATCGAAGCTTCACCTTCTAATAGTTTAGATAAGAGAGCCATCTCGAGCAAACCAGCTTAAGCGTGATACTACATTTCTTAAAGCAACCACTTTTTATTAAATAATTTGATTCTCTTAGATTTTATTTTTTGTTTCCATTTTTGTTGACTTGCTTGGTGTAGGGACGAGTTAAGATTTTGTTAAGTATAGCCTATGTTTCTTTGAATCGATTTATTCTCACAAAGAAATATATACAATGAATATACATAAACAAAAATGCATAATGCAATAATGTGAATCGGGTTAGATGAGTCACTTTGCTCGTTGAAAACTTCAAATCATGAAAGAGTTTATACCGAAGATAGGTCAAATCAGCTTTTCTTTAATACTCACCAAAAGTATAACTCTATAGATGATTCGAGAAACATGCCTACCCCGGATCGATTTGTCTTTGATAAGATTTTTTTTTTTTGGGACCCGAGTGATGAGTGCATCTTATGATAATATACATAGAAGAATTTGAAACTTAGCCTTCTAGAACATGCTAAATGTGACTTAGAGCCATTTTTCATTAAAGGATAAAGAAATTATTTGATATATATTACAATGATAAAATGTTACAACCACTCGAATCATATTACAATGTTTATGATATTTTTCATTACATAATAGGTCCTTATTCTACTCTAGTCAACTCTAAACCTAGATATGAGGCAATAATGGATATGAGGTTTTTGAACCTTTTACGAGTTCCTCTTCAAAGGTGTAATTGGTTCTTATAAGTTGTATCTTTTTTTTTGGTAGCTTCGACATAAAATCTAAGGATAAAAAGTCTCCTATCCACAAACTAAGCTCATTTTGATCTCGGCCTAAAATCCTCAATAGTATTCTCCATCTTCTTTCTATCATGATTTGATTTGATCATAACCTATATATAAAAAAGAGCAAGGGTTAGAACTAACCTTTTTGAAGATAGTTCATGTCTTAATTGGTCAACCTTAATGGATAGGAACTAACTTTTCTAGGGTTTAGGTAAGATTTATCTACTACTAAAGTCCTTTTAAATCGTCCACATTATCGGTGGAGTAATTTAGCCTCTAATTTTATGCCCTAGGAGGCATGGGAAGGTCATTCCATAATTTCATATACATAGGGTGAGTTCCAGTCTAAATAAGAGTCTAGATGAACATTAGTAGACTTTTTTTATACTTACCTCTAAATCTCTCTATTTAAAGGAAAAAGGGTTCTTCGACTCAACTATAGAGCTTCGCAATCTTTCTTTGTAGGGTGTGCAATAGTTCAAAATAAACACATCCAACCTAGTTCACAACTATGTATAAAAATTTGAGTAAGTAAATAAATAACATGAATTAAAAGACTTTGAATATATATAGGAATTAAAATACCAAATATAAATTATATAAAATAAATAACTTAGAATTATTTAAATGATAAAAATAAATGACATGAAAAATAGATGACTTGGAAAATAAATGATAAAAATAAATAAAAGAGATAAATTAAACAAGATTAAACCTATGGCCTAACTATAAATCCCTATTGGAGTTATTATTATTATGTCGCTACTAGATTTTCATAGGGCTTTCAAAAATTTATCTAATTAAAAATTATTTTATTTGGTTATTTAATAGGGATATGAGTTATTATTAATTTTGTAGTCACCATCTAGTATTGAAAGGACTAACAAACCTAAAAATGACATTGACTCATAGATCCTAAGGTAAAGAGTTGTTTATACAATTGGAAAGATATTAATCCCCTAAATACGTCTTTTTTGAGAAAAAGATATCATGTCTAATCTAGTCCTAAAAGTTTATCTTTAAAAAATTTATTATTTGCCAAAATTAATCCCACGTCAAATTTCAAGTTTTATTTCCTAAGCCAATTCATTTTTTTTTTTTGTTTATAGCATCATATTAAACCGATAGTTCGACCTCAACACCTAGAGTTTTGTCAATTCAAGATTAGATCTATTTTAAGTCTCGATGTAGTCAATATGTTAGAGAATGACCAAATTACTAAAGTGGTCGATCCGAATTAATTAATAACGTATGTGTTAGTGCATGTGCCCAAGATCTAACCACGTTTGGATGAGGTTGAGTTAATGTATTATTGTATTATTTATTTTAATAATAATAAAGAAGTCATTCTATTAATTCATGTGTTTTATGTTCATAAATTTAGTAAAATTATATAAAAGCCCTTATGTTATGCATTCGCAATAGTGATTGATCAAAAAATGTGAGACAAACACTAATGTATATAAATGATATCATTAAACATTCCCAAGTCATAGCAATGTCAAGAATGGACACCGACTATATACGGATAAACTTGTGAGTGCTATGCTCATGCTATATGATAGCGATAGAAGATCTCACACTCATTAGCATGGTGATGCCAAAGAAAGCACTTAGGTGATTTATGTTAGAGAATATGTCCCTAGATTTGACTCGCCATGAGAACCTATTTAGTTTTAGTCTATAGGAATCTCATACAAGATGGGTACATATGGTCCTTAGACTTGAAGTCATCATGGTTGTCTCATTAAAGACTTATGTATTTTTTCATTCATTTTGATGGACCCATTAAAGGGTTGTATGTGGCCGATTCATTGGATGCACCGGGAATCTAATGAAGGTAATTGTATGACTAAGATAAGACATGTCATTCCTTGTATGATAACGGAGTTATCACATTCTACTTCGATAAATGTCTCGCTCAAAAAATCTATGGCTATTTTAGAGTACACTAACATAGCATAGTTGATTTACTCTAAGAGCTAAGACATTTGAAAATAAAAAAAAATTTGTATGATCATAATCGAACAAAACTTATAACCAAGTTCGAGATTATACTCGTGATAAATTGACATGAGAACTAAATTATATAGTAACCATGCTCGTGAAAGGTGTCGCAGGGGTACGTTGGTGGCGAGGATGACGTGTTTAGAAAAAAATAAGGAAAATGAGAAAAAATGATTGGAGTCATTACCTAGTATTATAGTTACTAGGAAACCCTATGACTTGGTTTGTTTAGAGTTTTAAATAAGGGGTTTATTATGTGTAGGAAAGATTAAAAATCACCCTATCCCATCCTACATAAGGCAAGTCGCATTGCGTATAAACTTTGATTTGATTACTAATTTTCAATGATGAACATCTATACATATCTCTCAAGCATTTGCCCGCTGATCGAGTGATTTGGGACTTGGTTGGTTAGAGACCTTATCCTCACTCTTTAATGAATAGTTTTCAAATTGATGAACACAAGGATATGCTGCTAATTCAGCTCAAATGGCATAAATGAAAAATAAAACTTAAAAATAGATAAATAGACAAATATACAAGATAGGAAAATTGGCAAAATAAGAAAACAGGTAGAGATAGGCAAATAGTGGAAAAATGGAAAAATCAACAAAATCAGCAAGTAGACAAATAGGCAATTCGAGCAAAATCAACAAATTGACAAATTGACAAAATTGACAAAATTGACAAATTGGCAAAATTGGCAAATGAACAATTAGGCAAAATCGAAAAATTAACAAATAGGCAAAATCGACAAATTGGCAAATAGGAAAAATCAATAAAATCGACAAATTGGCAAATTGATGAAATCAAAAAATTGATAGTTAGGCAAAAATCAACAAATAGGCAAAATTGACAAATAGGCAATCGAGCAAAAATCGACAAATTTGCAAAAATTAGCAAATTGGAAAAATAGGTAAAAATAACAAATAGGCAAAATTGATAAAATCGACAAATTAGTAAATCAACAAAATCAATAAATTGAAAAATAGACAAATAGACAATTAGGCAAAATTGGTAAATCGACGAGTTAGGTAAAATAGGCAAAATTTTCAAAAATCAATAAATTGGCAAAATAATTTTGAAACCACCAACAACTTCGTCACATAAGTGGGAAGTCATCGACGACTTTATTGTACATTGAAATCAATCATGGATAGTCATCTAAACCATAAGAGTAGCACAAACTTCACATTTACACAAGTGGGCATAATAATAAGAAAATAAGGAATTTTTTCCTTTAACGGTTATTCGAGTAATATTTTATTTTTTTAACCGTATTTAATCAATAAATGTGAAGCCAAATATCATAATTTTAACCATATTCCACACACACCAGTCATTTTAACCTTTTAATATGTTTTTAGAAGTGCCATGTTTTCGGGATTTTTACCCAAGAGTCTTAAAATGTTGATGTTTGATTTGGAGTAAGTCTTACTCTCTTCATTCTTGATGATAATCGATTATTCTCTTAGCCGGAAAAGAAGAGTAAATGCTAGTAGGGAATGAGAATGAATAGTACTAGGGTGGCCAAGAGATCTTACTTTACTTGGCTTCAAAATTTACAAAGTTACTATTATAGAGTTAGGGTTCCTGAAAGGTCAAGATGATTTTTGTCGCTTATTCTCTTATCAAAAATCAAGCAAATACAGCCTAAAAAATCATGTTATTTTTGACAAAACAATCCAACACAAGAAATGTTTTGAGTTTTTTTAATTTATTATTTCTTCCTTTTTTCGATAGCTCTAAAAGTGTCGAGGGTCGTTTTGAGGGAGGTTTTGTGGTCGTTTTGGGAGAATTTTTTAGGTTGTGTTAAAGCTAGTTTAGGGGTGTTTTTAGGGCTACTTTGATGGTTTAAATAGGCTATCCAAAGGGGTTTATCTACAAAGGTTTTGGAGGCTATTGGTAATGGTTGCATGGCCGATTTTGAAGGGTTTTTTGGTGGGTTTTTCGTGTCCGTTTTGGGGTTGGTTTTTTAAGGCTACTTTTAGAGGGATTTTATGCCTAGTTTGTAGCTACTTTACGGCCTGGTTTTATGGCTTTGAAAGAGGCTAGTTTTACAATGGGTTTTGGTTCTAGAGTAAGGGACTTTTGGTGGCTACGGGTTGGAGTTGAGGCTAGAGTTGCTTGGTTGGAGTGGGGCTATTGTGTGTGTCGACATAGGGGATGGCTTGCTAGGTAAGGGCTTATGGTATGGAGGCTTAGTGGGCGAGAGTTTAGGTGATGAGAGGGTTAGAGCTTACGGGCGAGAAGGGTGTGGGATGTGTGAGGGGGCGGTAGGGTCGTGGGTCGGTGTGGGGAATGTGAGGGGACAATAGGCATGAGGCTCGTGTTGGTGAGGTCGGTTATGGGCGAGTGGGTGAGAGGGCTAGCGTGTGGTGGGCTGGAGTGGATGAGGAAGGTTAGCCTGTTGAGGGGCCGAGTGAGGCTACGAAAGAGAGCTGGAGGCTATGAGGGTGGCAAGCATGTGGAGGGGTTCGAGAGCGCGAGCCGCTCGAGCGAGGAGGGGAGCCGAACTGCTATGGTCGGACGTGGAGGAGGCTTGGGTAATGGCTATTTCGGAGTTGCTACCGCTCGTAAGAGAGTAGAGGGATGGCTAGTTATGAAAATGGAGATGGTTAATAGTAGCTGCCCTAAAAAGGGTATGGAGGGCTTTTTATATGTAAGGTTGTTTCTAGGATAAGTTTGGTTTGGTTCTTTACCTCACAAACTCGCTTCATTTTGGTCACTTTTTTCTCGGCTTTTTCAATCGCATCCCTTAATTATATTTTTCAGTCTCTTTTCTTTTTTGTTTTTGTATTTTTGTATTTTTTGAAAAAATTTAGATGCTAATAGTTGTCCTCTTTTTACAATGCTTATGGTGCAAAGCCATTGAAAAATTAACTTTTCTTTGGCTTTGCATAGTAAGCTTGTATATAAAATCATAAAATTGCAGCAAACAAACAAATCAATAGACAAGGTTAAATCAATTAGCAAACAAACAGATCAATTCATAAGAGTGTGAATGACATACTTAATTATCATTGAAGAAACATAAATTGTCACCGCCAAAATATAAACTTCCCCTTCTTCTCCTCATTTGTAAGTCACCATCATCCGAATAGGCTCAAGGTTTTAGGCTAATCGCTCTTACTCGATTTTTCTCTCGTTTAATCACATGTTCTTAAATTATGTCTCCCCTTTTTAGGTTTTGACCAGGCTATCATTCATGTCGTTTGAGTGGCATTTGCTTCGTGGTTAGGTAAGTAATTGTTCATTCTTTCACTCTTCTGCAGTATTGCCCCCAAGTGTTTGGGCTTTTGTCAACATAGATCAAAGATTTTGACCCATAAATCATGGTGATACTTTTCATTATCGCTTTCTTAATCCATCGGGAAAGACCTTATGCCTAGTTTCACAAAGAAAGCCTTCTTGCCTATCATGCATGAGCAAAACTCTTATTAAATTATCACTTATCGACTTATTGAATAATTATATTTCATAAATGATGTTAATCACAGGATTATGCATAAGATCAAAGAAAAGGCTTTGTAGGGACCGATCATATCTATAGAAATCGGGCCATTTTGAAAGATAAAAGGGGCAAATCGTGTTTTGTTGGACAAAGCAAGAACGAGATAAGTGAAGTTGAAATGATTACGGTAATAAATTTGGGCCATAACTCAAATGATCTTTGTTGCTTTGGATAAAAGTGAGGTCGATCAAATTTGATTCCGACTTTGATTTTGAGTTTTTTTAAAAGACTCGACTTTTAATTGTTGACTTTCATGGATTATGTCGTATACTCCAATAATCGAACCAAGCTAAATTATTCAAGAGAAATCATAGAGATGTTTACTAGAATGTAATCTCATTCAAGAAAATATTTAATTCATTTGGTCAAAAGCCAAAACATATCATGTAAATATCATAATATAATTTTTAAGATTATCCTCTTTATGCTAAGTGAGTGGAATGTATTCGGATCAAATCAAAGGCTTAGAAAGAAATAATTTTTTGGAAGGGCAAGTGTCAAATATTGTCTCAAAGGAAGTGAGATGTTCAAATGAATGTCATGGGCTCGAGGGATGTTCAAGAAAGGTAGGCTCAAGTGGTTTCCTAGGTTTAAATGGGTAGTCTATCTAGAAAAAACCTTGATTTTTGTTTGTTCCTTGCCCCTCAATTGTTTAATGAAAAACTAATAAATCAATACCATGAATGATGATTTATGATCCAAAAATAATTTCTTTCTTTTTTTCATTTTGTTTTTTTTTTTAAGTTAAAACTTATCAACACAAACCAAGTCATCATCAATCGAAAGGGCTTCGAAGGCACATAATATAGGCTAAGGCTTTGGCTCATGAATAAAAGGATGTAAAAATGCTCAAAAGGTGTTTGAGGGTCTAAAGACTCGGGATCATATGATGACCCATCAAAATTATATTAGGCTTGGCCATACTAAATTTGGCACTTTAATGGTTGATCTCATTTCTAATCTCAATTCCGCTTCGATGTTCACTCATATCATTTTTGGGATTCCATAACCTTTTCTAGCTCCGAATCACAACAAGGGCCATTTAAAGAACACTTTCTTTCGTTTAGTGTCATTTGGTTATTATTTTCTTTTTCATTTCATTTTTTTGCCCCCATTATTTTAGAATAATCGTCAAGGCTCTTTTTGATTTTTGTGAACCAAATCTCTAATTTTTTAAGAGAACATAATCGATTTCATACACCTTTAAATTGCCTCCAACGTGAGGGGTGATCCCGATCTAGATTTTTATCAAAAGAAATTATCAAAGGCTCAAAATAGGATAACGAATGGTAAAATTTACTTATGAAGGATATATTAAAAAAGGCCTTTCTTCATCTATAGTATGAGTTACTCAAGCCGATAGGCTTTGGTTTCATTTAAAGATCATGATTTATGAAGAAGAAAGCGATGGTCGAATGACATCATGACCCAAGTGTTCACCACTTGTCATTAAATCATTTAGCTTCTCATTTTGGATGTCATTATATCATCTTGGCAAGGTCTGTCTTAAAAAGGCTCATAGAGAAATGATGCTTTTGGTTTTGATAAAAAGAATTACCCCTTGACATTTACATGACATATTATGAAAGTCGACCACTTTTGAAATATGTTGAATGCATTCATCATTTTACTTCTTTCAACTTGGATAGCTTAAAATGATGGATGATACATGACAAATAAACATCTCTTAGCTTCAAAGTAACAATGAACCATGCTAAGACGATAGAAATTATTTTTTTATTAAAAAAATGACTCAATCCATGAAAATCATAACTCTTCTTCTTTGTCTAGTGTCATCGAGTTAGGTCAATAATTTTTAGTACAATCATTTGGTGCTTTCGGGATATGATCATATTACGTACCCTAAAGAGAGAATAAAAAAAGATGAATGAAAGAAAGTAGGTAGGGATGAAAGACATTTGCACGATCCCACAAAATAACATCATTATGAAAGCATGATAAAAAGTTCAGCATCATGTTGTAATGATAGAAAGGCAAAGATAATCATATTAAACGAACCATTTAGTCTTGGAAACAATAGACACTTATTAGTCAAACCAATTGCTCGGCTCCTCTCTTTGGTCGATTTTGGGTCATCCAATGATAGCATGTTTACTCCCCTAGTAGTGACATGATTTGACAAAGGATTGATGTTTGGAGGATTTGAGGGATCTTTAAATGCAATCAAACATTGATCAATCAAATTTCACACCTTTTTCTTGAAGCTTGCATAGTTCTCAATATTATGAAAATTGGCACCATTATGGTATACAAAAATTTTATTAGGCTTATACCAATGAGTAAATGATAGCTAAAGCAAGTGTGAGTGTCATAGGAGCTATCCGGCCAATAATTACTAGGTGCTCGAAGAGATTAGCAAGAGATAAGGGAAGTGACGATAATATATCATTGAATTGCCCTCTATTGGTATTCCTTAGAGAGTTTTGAGTCGATGAACTTTATTGGTTTATGAATTGTTATGGGTTTTGGTAGTGTGTTTTAAGGCCGACATTGGCATAAGGCATGTGTTTGGCCGGCTTGGTAAGGGTTGTGCAGCATATGGTGTTGTGGAAAGTGGGTGCTTGGGTTGTCGGCTTGACTATATTGTTCGAATTGGAATTTATAGGAATTATGAATTGGGCGGTTAGGTTGGGCATGTTGTTTTGATGGATGAACGGACTATTATTCCTCCGAGAGTTATTCCATTGCCCCTAAGAATGAAAGATGATCCTCTAATTTGATGTACCTCTTAGTATTTTCTCTAGTTGAAGTTACTCCTCTTATGTTTAGATTCAAAAGGATTGGCTATCCTTTTTGATTTGATGGCTTATTCTATCCGATCTACAATAGATACTATTTTCACAAAGTTGTTTGACCCATTACTCATCGGATGATTATAATATGGGGCCTTAGGGGTATTGACAAAAAGAGTAACCAACTCTCTCTCAAGAAGAGATGAACGAAAGCGAGACGCTATTTCTTACTTTTGTTGAGCATACTCTCTAACGATTCCCTCGGACCTTTTTCCATAGATCGTAAGCTAGATCCGTTAGGTGTTATCTCTAAATTAAATTTATACTACCTCATGAATATGTCCACTAAATCTTTTCATCTCTTGATCTTCGTTTGGTCTAGATCAATAAACCGGTTGAGAGTAGACCCATTAAGACTCTTGAAAAATAAATGGATAGGTAGCTTTTCGTCATATACTACCTTAATCATATTGTTCGGATAGATCCTTAAGTAGGTCTTTGGACATGGACTCTTGGTGTATTTGGTAGGTTTAAGCACTTTAAATTTTCGAGGAATCACCACATTCAACATTAGATATTTATCTACACTAAGAAGGGGATTGTACATATCTACACCTTTGATAGCTCTCGGATGTTTCTCAATGGTAGTGAGCTTCTCGGCTTCGAGTTCCGAAACTATCTATTCCTTGGCCAACTCTTCAATAACAAAATCAGCGATTGCTACTATTAGTGCTCGGACGAGCTTGAGGCAATATAATAGCTAGGCTTGAAGGTCTAAGAGCAAACTCATACATACCCCTTGGTATAGGATAATTTGCATGATCGGTTATACCGAGTAGGCTCTAAATGAGGCATACCGGGAGGCAAGTGGCACGGTGGTGAACCCTTTTGGAAAAGCCGATGAATGGCCAACTTCTCTTTGGATGATAATCTCTCGAAGACATGTGATTTTGCTTACTTTGTTTTAATAGAGTAGTAAGCCTAACAACCTCTTCCTTTAGCATCTCTATCTCCTTACGGTGATTTTGCTCAAATTGAACCCTTTCTTCGTTTTTCATTTTTTTCTTGCTCTAAGTGTGGTGAATACACGAAGGAAATGTAGTTTTGGTAGGTTGACCTATGTTTCGCTTAGACAAAAGACAACAAACACAAAATATAGACAATATATTAAAAATAAAATGACACTTGGGACTCGAATATTGAATAGCCTTCATGTGGGTTTGATAAGAGGATCCAATCGTTGATTCTTTGACATTATCCCAAATTGGTTTAAAGATGAAATTATGTTTCATCAATAACCCTTAAAATATTCTAATTGAGCTTTGAAACATCCTTAGTAGTCAAACATTG